GCCCCAGCGGTGGCCCCGTTCAGTGCGGGAGGGGAGAGCCCCGGTGCCGCCATCTGAAGCGGGTTCAGACGCTGCCGCCTCGGCCAGAGAAAAAAACTGGCTGGAGCGCAGCAGCTCCGGCGTGGCCCCGTTGGCAGCTCCCAGGTTCCGCCAACCTCCCTGCGGAGGACGGCCCGATGGCAGCCGGGCTGCTCTCACCGCTGCTTGGAGAGGGGGCGAAGCGTCGCCGATGGTAGAGCCATCTTCTGTAGCCAATTAAGACCCTTCACATCACCTCGTATTTGTGGATGCGTTCGGGTTGTAACGTGTTGACCCCGAGCTCTTTGCAGCTTCCCTCCCTGAAATTGCGTGGGCTGGTTCAAGGGTGGAGCCGGGAGAAGAGCCCCTGTGTTTCAGGAGTGGGCTGGTTCAGGTTGCAAACGCTGGCTGCTCAAATCCCCATGTTTATGTGGTTCTTGGCTTTTTAGGTAACTTAACTGTCCGTGCTTTTCATGAGGGATTTAACCTTAAAGCTTGAGGAGGAATGGCCAGCACTTGACTCCAGTTGAGTCTCAGTCCTTCATGTGGAGCTGCTCTAGCTGTCACCTGAAAAAGGCTCAGCAGTGACGAGCTCAACACGTTGGTGCGTTCCCTGCACGCCTGCTGTTCACCGCTGTCGGGAGAAGTTTACCGAGCCAGTTAGAGTTTGGCCCGACCCAGCTACTTCCCTGCTAAGAGCGACCTGAGCCAGTTTGGTGCATTCAGATGCAGGAAAAAGCTTCACCTGTGCCACTGTTAATTTTGAAACAACCTCAGAGTTTAAACGACTCAAGTTTACTGGCTTGCTGTGCCCTCTAGAGGACACTCTACTTTTTTCTTTATTTTTTCCCCTAACATGGAAATTGTATTTTAAAAGTTGGTTTTTGCAGTATTTGAGGCTGTTTTTGCAGTATCCAAAATACCGTTTGACCTGCCCTTAGCGTTTACTGAAGGTGTGTGTTTCGCAAAGCTTACCGGGGTACACAGCTTTTCCGTGCTGTTATTCGGTGTGAATATTCTTTGCATCACTAAATGAGGTAATAAGGATTAATTTCTGTTAATCATTGAATTCCTAATAAATGTGGCATATCAGTTAAGTCTAGAAATTGTTGTTTAGTCTATGAAGCAATTGCCTGATACTTATAAGTACAAAGCTTATATGCCACATCTTATTTGTGAATAATACAAACCACACTTAAATATTTGCTTCATCTTGCTTGATACAAATTCTTTATGCATTTTGTCTAGTGCATAACTGTAAGCCAGAAGGTTCTTACTGTAAACTTTACTGTTCCTGCTTCTGGTTTTGGGTTACAAGAAAAACAAAACAATTACTTGGGTTACATTCTCCTAAAATTCTTGCTGTCGGCCCTTTCTCAAGCACTGTTGTCGTTTCCTGGGCAGCGCAGAAGACTTCACTGTCCGGTTCCTGTGAAGCTCCTGCTAAACCTCTCAGCAATCACATGCCACAAACCTTGCTCTGAAATACTTAACGCTTTGTGGTTTGAAATCCCAAATCCTGGTACCAAAGGAGACCTGGCAGTTACCAGCCTGTGCAGCAGAGGAGAGGCACTGGCGTCTGTTGTCACATCACGTCATCTCTGTCCCTTTTGATTCACGTAGTTTAAGATTCTGTTCTCGTACGATAATTGTAGGCGATGGAGCCGAGAAGTGATTTATTGTCAGGAATTCAGGTGGAAGGTGCAGCCATCACTCAAGACACTGAGCGTTAAAGCCAATAAAGAGTTAAAATCAATATAAGTCTGGACGTGTTTCAGTGGTTTTCGATGAAGTTGCGTGGATGTGTCTGTCTGTGTTGAGGTTGTTAACAGGTTTCCGCTGTTAGTAACGGAAAAGAATTTAGTAGTGTTGGCGTAGAAAGAAAATAATGCCATAAAGTACTTAAACTTAGGTAAGCGAATAGGTGTGAATTGTTTGTGTTGGGTTTCCCTCAGATTCAGTAACTTGAGTGGGGAAAAGTCAGAACTTACAAATATTTGCATTAGGAAAGGAAAAAGAAAAGGGGGGTATGGTTTTGCCTTTGAGCACATTAAAGAGAAGCAGCAAGTGACCTGTTTGTCCCTGGGTTAGGGGCGGGATGTGGTCTTCCCCTGGTGCAAGCAGAGCCCTGGAAAGCCGCTGTGTCTTCTAAGGGGGGTGAAGTGGCTGACGGAAAAGCTTCTAATTTGAAGGAATTCACCATTGCTATGTGTTGTGGCTGCATCTTGCCTCATGGCAGGCTTGTGCTGGGAAGCTTAATATGCACAAGGAGAATGGAAATTGATTGAACTCATCCAGGTTTATTCAGAATTGAGAGATTCAGGATTAATCTAGCAGGAGGTTGTAAATAATGTTACTCTGCAGCAGGAAGTAGTTGTTTGCTTGTTTTTATTAACTCGTTCTCTGTATTTTTCTTTTGATTTGCAGTGAAATAAAGAGAGAAAAGAGAGTCCCCTCACCGGACGTTATAGTGTTATCTGACAATGAACCTTCTAGCCCTAGAATGAATGGTTTAACAAAAATAGCATTAAAAGAGACCAACACAGAGGCACTCATGGTGAGTCTTCTTGTCTTGACACACTTTAAGTTGTGCCATCTAGAAAGAAGAAAACACACCACTTGCTCCCACAGAGGCACCTGCGATCGCAGGGTCAGGTGGATATGTGGTTTTATAAAGACGGATTTGCAAGCAGGGAATCTTGAAGCTATTAAAGGCTGCTGTCGTTTTTATTTTCTTCAGGCTCTTACCTCCTTGATTTTTATATGCTTTGAAAGTGCACCTTTTTCAGAATTGGCTTTTTAGTGGACGCAATGTCCCTTTTTCAACACAGCATAACACGGATTTGTTGTCTGACTCTTCATTTGACTTTGTTTACTTACTTTCACTAGCAAAAACATCTCAAACTTTTTTTTTGCCTTTGAGTTCTTTCTCTGTACTTAGTTTGTGTCCATGTATCGCAGGCATGTTGGTGATATTAAGACATACATGACAATTACAATGCTGTAAGTTCTTGTTGTAACTTGTATGGTATCTGTCTTTTCCCTCTCCCCCCTCCCTGTTTTCCCATCCTCTATTGCCTTACCTGGCCCTGCAGAAAAGCAGTCCAGAAGAACGTGAGAGAATGATTAAACAACTAAAAGAAGAGTTACGGTTAGAAGAAGCAAAGCTTGTTTTATTGAAAAAGTTACGGCAAAGTCAAATCCAGAAGGAGACCACTACTCAGAAGGTATTTATTTTCCTACAGATACTTATCTCATCTTTTGAAATGGAGGGGGGGGAAATATAAATAACTGTGGTGGTTGCCGTAACCTGTGGAACATAAGATAGCTTTCAAATAAAGCATATCTCACTTTTCATAAAATCTTTATGAAGCTTATAGTGGTTTATCCTGTTAACCATGCCTTCTTGTGGAATTCCTTTTTTTGTCTGGCCAAGACCAAACAACAAGGCAGTTTATCCTATCAGCCGTATTCAACAGCTGAAGACCTTTTTGTTAAAACTCAGATGCATTTATGAATGTAATGTACTTCCAATTATTAAACACTCCGTCCAGTCCTTAGTGCCACGTAGAGATTGCTGAAATACATTTGGAGGAGATTCTTGCAAATGCAAATGTGCTGACAGGGAGAGTTAAAGTATCTGAACCCCAGGCTCTGGGAGCTGGCGGCCAAGGGCTGCATTTGGTGCTGCGTGGCAGAAGCCCAGGTCTGGATTCCAGGTCTTACCAGGTGAAGTAAGTCTGTGGTTAGCTGCACGCTTTCATCCAAAAATCCAGGCAGCCCCTGGGAGGAATGGTTCAGCCCTCCCACCCTGAACTCCCTTCCCTTCCTCCTCTTTTCTCCCCACCCCTCATCTTGCACAACCACGCGCAATATCCAGAGTGCTGGGAGGAGAACTGTTTTCATCAGAAAAAAAGTCTACCTTTTTTTGCCAGAGCGGTTGCCTGGTCTGCTTGCTACGTGTGCCGTTCGTGCTGGCACTGAAGGGTAGAGGTGGAGGGTGGCAGGAGAAGAGCAGAAGAGGTTGGGAGGTGAGGGGGTGTGCGAACACCCCACGCGCTGCTATGAAGGCACAGGCTAAATTTCAAGTATCTGTAACAATGGCAACTAAACGATTTTATTTTACAGCGTGTGATGCTGCCTTGATGGATTTTGTGATGGGGGCGATGTGTAGATTAAGTGCACTTCATGGTGCAGATGGATGTTAACACATCTCTCTTGGCTGGTTTTGGTTGTTTTATTGGCATCTTTCTCCCGGACTTCTGAGTGCTTCAGTAGATGGGATTAAAACTAATGCAAGTACCCGTATCGCTCAGCTTGCTGCTGAAAGCTGAGCAATGAGCTCTGGATGTTTGAACTAACTAGGGTGAAATGGCATATCCTAAACTTCTTAATATCTGAAGTCTTTTTCCGAAACTTTTTTTCACTTTGCATTATGCTTGAACCTAGTTAGCTGAGACCAGTAGTAATGGTGGATAAGACTGAAGGGGGCTCTAAGCTGAGACTGCTAAAATAGATTTCCGCATTGCTCTGCTTTTGGGGTATAGACTCTCTTATTTTCCTGGTATAATCTTATCTATACTTACCTAATAATTTCTTCATTTAAATACGCATGTTGAGATGCTTGGAGGGAGAAGGGGATGGGGGAGGGGGAAAACCACAGTCTTTGAAGATTCTCTTACTGAGGCGCAAGGAGGTAAACGCTTTTATTCCCTTAGCTTCTGTAATTCTGCTTACACCCTTACACTCGTCTGCTTTCTTTCTGGTTTTTCCTCTTCCAGCCTGCTGGTTCCTCTGGGAGTGCTGTGGCCACCCCTCCGCCCTTGGTGCGGGGACCGCAGAGCGTTCCTGCTGGCAAGCCGTCCCTCCAGGTCAGTGGGGTGGGCCAGGCTGCCAGGTTTAGGGCATGGAGCAGAGAAGAAGGTGCACAGTACAGGAAAGATAGTCCCATCACGTTAATGGCTTGGAGCTAGGTGGAATTTTTTTTTTAACTCCCGAAACCCCACTGTAAGCTTTTTAAGAACGATTGGGGTGGGAGGTAAAAGTAGGATGTCACATGGAGATAACTCTCATAAGCTTATTTTTCAGTGGCTGATCATCCTGATCCACTCTGCTGATAAATACATCCACACTAGTACTAATGACCTTTGGCGAAAGAGGACGCCTTGGAGTTATGTCGTAGAAATATTGTGGCAGCCTGTTGCCGTACCCTCAAGAGACTGAATTGTGCCCTCAGTATGATTAACTGTAAGAGCTGAGTGAATCATATGATTTTCTCTTTTGGCTTGGTGGCTGAATGGCACATGATGGTAGGAAAGATCTTGGTTCAGACTAAATTAAATGAAATGTTGGAAAGCCTTGGGGAAGGGAAAAAAAAAAAGTAGAGGCAATTGACATCTGTCAACCTAATCTTCCTCTTGAGTCTAGTATCTTGTTTCGCTTTTGGATTTAAAACATTTCTGGTTATTTACCTTGGGCTAATTCGAAACAAATTTCAAAACTGCTTCAGCACAAAATGCTCTCACTTGGAAAATGGCAGCTCTTCATTTCAAAATCCCCTAGAATGCTATACTCGAGGGAAGGGGTAAATTTGCTATCCATTTAGGAAACATTCACAAAACCTGAAGCAATTTGTCAGTTGGAGTAATCTCTTCCTTGAGGCAAGTTGCCTTCACTGAAGACAGCACTTTCAGAGGAACTGGACCACGAGTTAAATCTTCAGCAATGACAGTGAAACTTCGGTTGGACAGAGCAGAGAGCTGGGAGCTAAGAATCCAGAATTGAAGTTATTCTATCTAATTTGCGGTGTTTGGGCAAATTAACCTAACCTCCATCTGCTTTTGCTTGACTGTAAAAGCTCTACTAATTCCTGTGTGTAGGAGTTAACGTTTGGTCTTCAGTTGAAAGGCATAACAGAAGTGGATAAAACTTCCCACCTGCCTAAATATGTACGTGTGTGTACACGCGGTAACTCATGAAAGTGGGAGCTTCAGTGTTTTTAGAAGTCTTCACTCACAGATGATGGTCAGTTTGGTATTTGAGTGAGGGAAGTGGCAAGATGTGTAAAGCCAAATGAATAGGATGGAGAGGTTTGTCGCTCTTGAGCAGCGAGTGCTTCTCAGGCTCGATTGTGTAGTGTTAGTGCTCTGCAGGAGTGTAAGTGGTGCATGAAACCGTATCACCTTTTATAGCATCATGAGAAACTTTGAGGATTTAATGCAGTCTGCGTTCCAAAAAGCATGGGCAGCAATTTTTCAAACTTCTTTAGCCTGATTCCTTTTTCTTTTTCATTTTTTTCCTAAAGTTTTCCCCTTTTCCTGTCTCTTTTTTTCCTCCCCACATACATGCGCATGCCCAGTCTGCTCACCTCCCCGGGTTCCTGCATCTCCAACGTCTGTGTGCCCCGTGCTTCTCCTTGAAGGACAGCAGTTTGTATTTCCCCATTCTCTTAACTCCCCCCCAAAATACACTTTTTTCTTTTTTTTCTTTTTTTTTTTCTTTTTTTTCTGGACACTAACTGCACTGCAGCCAGCCCGGCCATCTCTTGTCCTACAGTATTTCCACGGGCTCGAAACAGATACTGCATCCGTCACACCAGCCAGAGAGGACAGCTGCGCTCGTGTACCCCTGCTCTCGTACTCGGGTTATGGCGTGCCTCTTTGGTGTGTCTCAGTACAGCAGATCTTGAGCTACTGAATTTCAGCGGTGGGAGGGCAGATGAAAATGTTGTTCAGGACTGCTCTTTACCTTTTAAATTCTGTGCAGGATGAGAGAGAACAATCCCCGAGTGTGTAGCCAGACTGCCATCGCGTCTTTACCTATGTCTGTATTGCTGCGTAAGATTTCAGATGCTGCTTTGTCGGCACACTAAGCAGCAGAAGAGAGCATGCGTATGAATATACCGGAACAAAACAATGCGAGTAAACTATCTTCTGTTTTGCAGACCTCTTCTACGCGTATACCAGGCACTGTTATTCCTCCTCCCTTGGTCCGTGGAGGGCAGCAGACTTCTTCAAAATTGGGAACTCAGCAAAACACGCAGATAGTAATGCCACCTCTTGTCAGAGGAGCACAGGTAAGTATTTACCTTGAGGTAGATCCGCTCTGTTTTACCTTAATGCATCTTAACTATTTTCTTAGTCATCTTTCTGCTTGTCTGGAGGGAACCTATGAAGTTCTTGCTGGAATTTCTTAATATGGCTAGGTATATTGCTACTGAAAGATCCTGCATCGTTCCAGTTTTGCGTATTGTGTTGTCCCATAACGCTTCCAGTGAAGCATGAGAAAATCCTGTGGTGATGCAGGATGCTGGCTTGCCTGCATAGCTGCCTCCTTTAGCTGCGCCAAAGCAGTTTGTTTGCCTTTCTTATGAAAGTTAATTTACAGGCTTCCAGCTTCACCCGCTTTTTAGGAGAGCAGCAGCAGAGGAAATGAAACACAATCCCTTGTTCTTCCATTTTTTCCCCTCATTATTCTTTCTGTCATATCAATTTCACCTTTTCAAATGCTAAAACTCACTTTTTTTTTTTCCCTCATTGTGTCTGTCTTACGATTGAGTAAGAGCTGCTGAAATGAGATAGTCGACTGGAAGTCTGAAAGTGCTGCTTTGCAGGGTCTTTATCACCTATAACAGAAAATAGTGGTGTCACTAAAGGAGTAGGAAAGCAATGTTCAATTTGATACTGTCTTCTAAAATTATGACTTCCGTGGAACACCAGGAAAAAAATATTTCCTTGTTAAATGAGGATTTATTTTGCAGTGAAAGGTCTGCTTTTATCTGTTGCGTAGCCAGCATTAAGGAGGAAGGTAGAGATTTGGTATTTCATTTTCTTTCTATTCTGATTATGGAGAAAAACTCATTCTGAGAAATAGCTTTCCTAATGCCTTTAAAATGAAACAGGCTTAACAACTATACATTTGGAAAGAAATTTGACTCAAACTTAGATTTTTTTTTTTTTCTGGCACAGCTGTTTGACCGTAATGTGATGGCCTCACACACGAGCGTCTCTTTTCACGTTACGTTCTACTTGTTTCATTTTGACAGAGGGAAAGTGGAAAACATCACATTTTGACGAGGATGTTAATTATCACGCTTTCTTTGCGTTCCCTGCCTTGCCTCATTTCCACTGTCTCATGTCATCCCATTTGACTCCCACCACTTACTTCCCGCTATCTAATCCTCCCCATCGTCCATGGCACCATTGCATCAGCCCATTTCTGTGTCTTCCCAGCAAATCCACAACATCCGACAGCACTCCAGCACGGGGCCGCCTCCGCTGCTGCTGGCACCGCGAGCATCGGTCCCCAGCGTACAAATTCAGGGGCAGCGAATTATCCAGCAGGGTCTGATCCGCGTCGCCAACGTCCCCAACACCAGCCTGCTTGTCAATATCCCGCAGGTGAGTTCCATGAGATATTTTGTGCCAAACATAATGTTCATCTCGGAGGAACAGATAAATGGTTTTAATTACTGATTGTTCGGTTACTGTATCTAATTGGTGTGGCCTGCTGTCATCTGACTACTGTGGTTGCTTATTACTGCAGCTATCCTGCTCCTTGTTCTTCCCATGCTTTCTCTGTTCACATTCACCTCCTGTACATAGGAATGAAGAAAAACATTACAGAGTATTGGGAAGAAGTATGTATTTCAGTGAACTGAACTTTGTGTCTCGTTTCACATTTGGTATTTCAGTATGAAGCTGTCCATTAGAATATTTTTTTTCCCCTCTCTCTTCCTTAAGATGCGTAAATGAGTGTTCTGGTAAACAGAGCTCAAAATGGGTTAGCACTCCTATTTGAAACACCAAGAGATACTGAAGCAGCAACTTAACACCTACCACAGATACTGGCATACGAGTGATAAAGGAAACAATTTAAAGTCAGTGCTTTGACAAAATCATAAGGAAAAGGACTCCTTTTTGGTTTGTTTTCTTCAGAATTTCTAAAACTACCTTATAAAAATGATCAGTAAAGAAAAATAAAGTTCTTTAGAAAAAGAATAAGAGCGTTAGACGACAGGTATAGCGTTGCAGTGAATTTGCGTATTGTGATCTGTTTGGTCACCTACAAAAATAAGGTTAGAGGCAGGCGGTTTGGGCTAGTCCCAAGCAGCCAGCCTTTATTGCACACAAACAGCCGCGCGCAGCGTGGGGGCCAACGCTGCTTGCCTCCCTCTCGTCCCTCTCGATGGAGAGGAGCGCGCGTCTCGAAAGCGCCGAACCATCTGGCACTTGTCGCTAAGCTGTGTCGTGTTTCCTCCCAGGCCTCGCCAACTTCAATCAAAGGTACAACCGTGACATCCGCTCAGGCTAATGCTACTACGACCAGCGCCGCTTCCATCGTCAACTCCAACGACTCGCCGGCCAGCCGGCAAGCCGCTGCCAAGCTCGCTTTGCGGAAGCAGCTGGAGAAGACACTGTTGGAGATCCCTCCTCCCAAGCCGCCTGCACCAGAGATGAACTTCCTGCCGAGTGCAGCTAATAACGAATTTATTTACTTAGTCGGGTTGGAAGAAGTTGTGCAGAATTTGCTGGAAACTCAAGGTGAGATAGCGTTAAAAATGTTCCTCAAAGGCGAGGAGAGAACCTTTCCCATCTGGATCTTATCTCAATAGCAGGCAGCAAGGAGTTTCAGGCCTCGCAGGATTAAATTGTCATACTCTTGTCAAATCTAGGATTCACTTCCTTTAATAATTTTCAAATGGTTTTATTTAAAATTCTAAAAAGCATCTAAAAAATTCGTAAAAAAAAAAAAAGTTATGATTTCTCATAGGCTAGACACCGATTGTAAAGATTTCTCGTAAAATGCATCCAGTTCTCCCCAGAGCTGTTCGCTTCCCATCAGCCACTTGTTTGTCCATCACCACTAAATTCTCTAACCAGTGTCTGAAGAAGTATCTGCTGGATACCTACGCACACACTCACAGAAGTAAAGGGTTTAAAGATTCAGTCGTGCAAAAGGCTTCAGACTGAGGAGAGTTAAGGGGTGGAGGGTTTGCTTTGGGTTTTTTCTTTATGCTGGAATATTCTTGAGGTTTCTCAAGTACTATTCATTCATAGAAGCCACAGGTGGAGCTGAGCTAAGCTGGTTGTATTCTCCAGGTAAAGTTTCAGTTGCTGTATCATCTCGTGAGCCCTATATGTGTGCTCAGTGTAAGACTGACTTCACCTGCCGTTGGAGGGAGGAAAAGAACGGAACCATTATGTGTGAAACCTGCATGACATCAAATCAGAAAAAGGCCTTGAAAGCTGAGCACACTAACCGACTGAAGGCTGCCTTCGTAAAAGCACTGCAGCAAGAGCAGGAGATTGAGCAAAGGATACTGCAACAGACTGCGTCTCCTGTACAGACCAAGTCAGACCCTATAGTGCAGCACCACTCGCTCAAGCAGGTAGGGCTCCGTCCACCAGAAGCCAGACCTTGGTGATGATGGGGCGAGGGTCCCGCGGCTCCGAGCACAAGTGTTTGGTGTGCAGGCATGAAACTGATGCATGAACTCGCTTTATTTAAGCTCCATGGTGTGTGTTGTGTTTGAGTGTAAGCTTAAAACCGGGCTGGCTAAGGTGGTTTTTGTCATGTGGGGACCTGATATTTAAATTATGTTCTGAAGAGCAGAAGAGTGGTGTTTTTCTGCAGGGTCATTGTAATTATCCGGGGTGTTTAACTATCCTGCAAAGTCTGTTCCTGAATTTTTTTTAGGATGTACCAAATGGAAAAAGGTGCTCCGGTGCCAAATACACGAGAGTGAATTGACCCAAGATGGGGGTGAGGGGGGAAATTGGCTTGAGCCAGAAACACATAATGTTGCTTGTGAAGTCCCCCATCCGTGACAGGGACTGGATCTTGCACACCTTGTAAAGCCACCTTTCAGTTGGAGGAAGACAGAAGCTGCTTATGTGCTGCTTTGAGTTGAAATAATCAAAGTACTGGTTATTTAGGACAGGGAAGTAGAGTGCTGCCTGCGTATGGAGATGCTTACACAGCCCGTTTTTTGCTGCTCTGCAGTTTGTTATAACTCCTCATCCTTACAGGTGCTCTCAGAAGCAGAAAGCTGATTCTTATTTTGTTGTAGAGATGTCTTGGAAGTTTTCAGCCCTGAAACTATAGTAATGCATTCCAGACTTGGCAGAAGAAGCCAAGAAAGGAGAGAGGGGCAGTAAAGATTCATCAAGGCTGTTGTACTTCAGAGACGGAAAACTGCTACGCCTGTCTCACCATTTGCTCTCTTGCCAGACTTCTAGCCAGATGTCTCGAGGTCCTCCTGGAGCTCCGCGAGGAGTGTTGCATGCATTTAGCCAGTCACCCAAGTTGCAGAATGCATCGTCTGCAGCAGCACTTGGGAGTAGGCCAGGTAAGCATGCTGAGAGACCTGTCAGCAAGGGCAGCGCTGCCGCCTGGAAGAAGACTCCCATCAATACAGGTAGATTTTTCTCTAAAGTTTCTTTTCTTTGTACTTACTAGCTGCACTCTGTCCAACAATCATAGTTCTTTGGGTAAGGATGCTTTCTCTTTGACACTTCCTGCATGAAAGCCCGATGGTACCGAGGCTTTGCTCTTAGTATTGTTGTTGGCACTTGCTTTTGGTGCAGCTTACGCTCACCAAAAGGGGCAATCAGGTGGTGCTACCGAATAAAAACTACTGCTTTGCGCATTTATAAATAGCCTAAATAGCTGTAATGTCAGACTGTTCGTCGCTGAGTCTGTACACGCAGCCAGTGCCGTGCTGCAGGAGTTTGTCATTCGTTTCTGGGAGTTTAATTCAGTTGTTTAATGTTGACTGGTGTTTTCTCTTTGCTGAAAGCAACATACAGTCAATAGATGTTTTTGCTCTAGGTAAGGCTACGGTGCACACTCCCAGTGTTCCTCAGGATTTGAAATAACTAAAGCTGTTGCTTTGAACAGATGGAAATTATACATTCTAATCTAATCTTTTTTTTATATATAAGAATCTGACTTGAAGAGTTGTTTGTTTTCTTAAATGATAATTAGGATCTCCAGGAAGGAAACACTGTAGCAACTAGCACTTTTGTGATCTACTTTCTTGCCCAGTATTGAATGGATTTCTTTTGATCTCTTTATTCCTAACAGCTTAATTTATCATTTGAAACATAATTTCATTGCAGAGACCTCTAGCCTGCTCAAATCTTCATTTCTGGTACAAAATCTTGCTCCTATTTGTTCAGATGATTTTGGAAGCTTTAATCTTCTGAAGGTGTCTGACCTTTGTGGCCATTAGTGCCCCATGCTCACTTAGATGATCCGTTTTCACGTGGGTGAAATAAGAGTAGTGTGTGTTTGCCGCTGTTTTGTCTCATGTTTTTATCATACTGTGACACTTGTTCTCTCTCCTCTTTTATATCTCGTCAGGTGGGGCTTTACCTTTTGTTAACCCTAGTTTAGCTGTGCACAAGTCGTCTTCAGCAGTAGACCGCCAGCGTGAATATCTCCTGGATATGATTCCCCCACGGTCCATCCCACAGTCTGCCACGTGGAAATAATGCAGAGGAACGCCTGAGAGGAAGACTTTTCCTGTTTCTGCCATCCTTTTTATACCACAATTACAGTGGAATCTGCTTTAATCCCAGCTGGATATGCCCCAGGCTTTATAGGATGCAAGAAGACCACTCCTCATCCCATCGAGTGCTGCTGTCCCTGCTATGAGAAAATGACACCGCGTGGGTGGGAAAGACTTGAGCTCATTTGGTTATCAGATTCTTATGATTGACTGATGATGAAGGCTGTCAGGGAAGGGGAAGAATTCTTCTTTTTTTTTTTTTTTTTTTTTTTGGCTTTATGTATTTAGTTTGGATTTTTTTTGTCACCAGCACAAAAGGAGGACTAAACGACTCTCTGCCTTCGGTTTCTTTATTAATAACTACCCATTCACCAGGAACATGGTGTTCGTTCGCGATCGAGCATGGATGTCAGTTCAAGGAGAGAGGAATTTCAACCCAATCTTGCAGATGCATTTAGTGAGCCGAGTTTCACGTTTGCTTTTCTTCCCTGCCCCTCCTCCAGCCAGGAAGGCAGTCTACAGATTATAATGATTCAAAATCTTCTGATGATGAGCTAATGATAAATAAGTGCAAACTCAAATTCCAGTTGAGTATGTTTTGTTGTTTTGTTTTGTTTTTTTTTCCTAAGGGACTGGCTGCCACCAAAACTTGTCTGGTAGATGGGAACCAGTGCAGGAGTCTCTCACTTTTGTTGGATTCTGTTTTGAATAGACTTTGAACTGTTGGTAGTCTAAAATCTAATTTACTGAATAGACAAAACCTTTGTTCAGTCTTTCTAATTCAGCGAAGAGCAGTTGGGCCTTTCATATGTTCCCAGAGACTTAAAAGTGAAACTGTTTTTGATTATTTTCTTTTGGAGGGTTTTTTGTTGTTGTTGTTTTGAGCAATTTTACTCAAAAAAGAAAAAAGAAAAAAAAAAAAAAAAAGGAATTCCAGAAGCTGCACGCAATCAGAAAGGGCGAGTGGAGGGGGCAGGGGACCGGGAGGCTGCCGCCAGGTCGCAGGCTCCTTCCTCTGCCGATACCTGCCGAGACGCGGCCGTTCCTGGTCCGTGCTGCGGCGGACAATGACCGTGCCAGCACGTGTTGGGCACGTTGGGGGCAGGACTGCCTACCCTGATCCCTCTAGAGCTCCGTTCTTCCAGGCGTACCAAGCATGCTCCTCTGTCCATCACTTCAGTATTTCATTTTTGATAGAGCTTTAGGTAACCCTGCTTTAAGGACAGGTTTCTACGTGGTTTTAATATATTTTGGGAATTCCACAGGTTAAACCCAAATCTATCAGGTCCAGGTGGTGGTTTTTTTTTTTCTTTCTCGTCATCTTCCCTCCTTCTTCCCTGTGCTTCTCCCAAATTAAAGTTGAATTCAAGTGGCAGAAATACATGCCTTACTACTTATGTTGCATATCAGTACTAGAAGTAGTGCTGATAAGAATTATTTGCAAAATTATATATATATATCTATATATCTATATATAAAAGAAAAGGGGGGGAGGGGTTACTATTCAGTCTATGCTGAATCTATTTTCTTAGCAGTTGCTGTTAGATCTAACTTTAAACCAATAACTGTATAGGGTTGTCCCCCTTCCAGATCTAACATCGCATAGTGAAAAAGAAAACTCGTTCATTTTAGCCCCTCTTCTGTTGTGTGAATATCAGTATTTAGATACTTTGAAAACTGTTCAGTAGGATAGAAAACCTAGTTTTGCAAAATGGTATTTGTTGCTGTATAAAGCCCTAGAATTTCAATTTGACTTTGTTTTTTGTTTGTTTTACAAATGTATATTAAGAGCTAAATGGGGATGAGAGGAATTGGTTTGAGTTTTGAATTTTTCTTTTCATTCCAAGATATTTTGGATTGGGAGATGTGGAGAGAGAAATTGAGTGCATTTTATTTTTGCACTTTGAAATATTATGGAAGAGTTTCAGTTCCTTACCTGCGTGGAGGTTTTTTGGGGTTTTTTTTCCTCTCTTCTGACAAATGCCTGCATTATCTCATCATTGATGCAAATGTCTAGCCCTGTTAAATCACCTGGGAAGAGTGCATTTGTTCAAAAAGAACAAGCAAAACTTCTCAAACTAAAATTCAAATGCCTTTTTGGGAAGCCTGGACAACTTCACAATTTCTTTCCAGTGTTGGGGTAGCTTCAGCTGATGCTGGAAGAAAAAGGGGAATGGAAAGAGGGGCAGAAGTATTCAACTTGCCTGTTTCAAAAGCGATGTCAAAACCTTTTTGGATACTGCCAGTTCAGTACAGCAGCTCGTAAATATTAATTTCAGCACAATGGATAGGGGAGACTCAAAATAAGCCTTAAAATAATTGAGAAGACTTATTTTAAGATTTGGAACTGAAAATAAAAACGAGTTTGCGTGTACTGTCTTACAAACCTTGCTCCCTCAGCAATGCTAGACCGCAGTCTGTCTTCGTTTAATGTAGAATAAAACCCCACAAATATTAGCTGAAGTATTGGGGTAGAATTATTTTGAAGGCTGTGTAAGCGAACAGAAAATATTACACGGATATTTTGGCTGTCGGGATTCAAACCAGTTTTGACATTGTTTTTAATCGGTGGTTCTTGGAGTGTTGCAGGTAACTTAGAGGATACATTTATTGCATATGTGCTTTAGATAAATGCACCAGGAAAAGACTTAAGCGGTATCCGTGTGTTAAATGCCAGAAGGGTTGCTTCTTCCTTTGTAGTCAAAACTGCATATTCAGTTGAGCAGTGTTGAACTGGGCTAGTTAAGGTACCATGCTAGGGTTAGGTAGTTGTTAAAACACTTGCTGCAGTCTTTCCAGATCTCCTCCTCCCCATCTGTACGTTCCCCTTCTTGCAGGAAAAAAAACCCCGAAAAACCAAGCAACAAACAGAAAAGCTCAATTGGATGGAATATTCACATAACGGTGTTACGCCCCAAAGGTTAAATCGTTTGGGAATTGTGAAGGGGGGGGGGTTAGACACGCTTTTAAGAACAAATCTTTGGTTTATTTCTACTGCTGTCATGTTTGGGATTCCTGCCTCCGTAAGGGCTATTAGTTCTGCCGCAGAGCTGTCCGAAAGTCACCTCATCAGCCCTCTCCCGGAAAAAGACCATTTTACTTAAAGCTCCCTCAGAACAAGAGACTGAACGTGCTGCTCGACAGTCTAGCCTGTAAATCGGTATCATTCAGGTGGAGTATCCGGCATCGTGTCCCGTTTTCCCCGACCCTCCACTGCTTCGCTGCAAACTGCTGCATGAGCTGGTTTGAGATTGCTCAGATGCTGCTTGCTTCCCCCCTCTCCTGGGGAGAGGGTTAGAGCAGCGTTGGTTCTTGCAAGCCATATAACCTTTCTTTGAGACGTTGCGACTACAAGATTTTATAATACAGTAATAATGAAAATGACTATTGTACTTAGATTTTAGCAACTTGTGAAATAAACCCCGGATTTTCATTTGAAACCCGTGTTGCAATTTGGGAGCTGTGTGGTGTTTTTTTTTTTTTAATTTTATTTTTTTATAACCTAATTTATTATCTGTTTGATTTCTGAGCGCGGGCGAGATTGCAGTCCTTTTGCTCAGAAACACGACAAGTGGCCTGGTTGAAGCTTTTATTTTTATAGCGCAGTCGACTTGGACGGCTTTTCCAGTTCGTGTAAAGGGTGACTTTGCTGATTTTTGTATTCTAGGGATTCCTGTAAATGGCATTCCAGCTGTAATAGGTTGATGGTTGAAGCTTTATAGCGCAGTCGACTTGGACGGCTTTTCCAGTTCGTGTAAAGGGTGAAGGGTGACATTTTTGTATTCTAGGGATTCCTGTAAATGGCATTCCAGCTGTAATAGTGAGGAAGACTCTTGGTTAATCTTAAATTCGAGATAGTTTGGGGTGGGTGGGGGGTTTCTATAGACATTTTTATCATCGTTTAAGGAATTGTTCATTTACCTCTGAATTCTCAGACCTAGTTGTCACTTTTTTTTGTTTGTTTGCTTAGTAAGGAGAAAAAAAAAAAGACCAAAGTGCAGTTCAGAATGGAAAATGGGGGACAGAAACGAAAATGGGCTGCAGAAGTGAGTAGAGCGGAGCAGGCTTAGGCAGGTCTCATCAGAAACCCTATTTGGCTCATTTGTCACTTTCTCCTTTTGGAAGGAGGGGGCACAGAAGGCATTTTTTTAATAATAAATATATAAATATATAAATATATATATAATGCAAAAAGACCTCAAGGAACCGCAGTAGTGTTTGTCTGCTTAAGGCAGAGTTACGCTGTATATTGCATTTAGCGAAATAACTTGCATTGTGCTCTGTTTAAAACGAGGAGAAAAAAAAAAGAAGAAGAATTTATAATCATCTAACAAAGGAGTGTAACAGAGTAACGTTACGCCAGCGCAGGGTATGTTTTTGTCACTCGTATTTATTGTGACTCTAAATCTTTGATAATAAAACAAAAATTTAAAAAAAAAAATTCCCACTAAAACCTGATAGTCTCAATGGCGGAAGAATCTGAAATCGGTAACTGTATATTGTATTGTGAGGGATTTTTAGTATTTGAATGACAATAAACAAATGGACAAACTGTTGGGTCTGCCTCTGATTTCGAGTGTATCGGTTTTGAGAGACGCCTTGTTTTGCACCCTGTGCCTGTCGGTGAGGATGCGCGAGATGAGGTGGTGGTCTGCCCCTTTCCTCTGGGGAGGGGGCAGCTGCTTCCCCCAAAACAGGTGATGGGAGGAGAACGGACGGGGGCGGAGAAGATGACGTCTACGTGGGATTCTACGGATTGAAATTCAAAGGCAGAAACGGATTAAGCGTCCTCACAGATGCCGCCTCTGGATGCAGACAGGGCCCGCGCGCTCTCCGGCCAGAAACGAGACACGAACGCCTCTTCAGCCCTTCTTCTCCCCCTGGAACTGCTGCTCTCCGCCCCTCGGTTACCCTTTTCTCCTATCCGTTGTACGTGTCCTGCCGTAAAACCTTCACCTCCCGCGTACGCGAGCCGGAGAAGATGAAACAAGCTGCCTGCGTTCTGCCCGCATGCCACGGAGCGGGCTGGGAGCCGGAGGGCTGCGGTTGCGGTCACTCTGCCACTCCAAAACTGGGAGTTTAACCCCATGTTCCTCCTGAAATACTTGAATGCGTTAATAAGTTTATTTAAATACTCCAGGCTAACTCAAGAGGCCAGTGGATCGCTACCCTCTGGGAGGGGAAAGGGGAGATGTAGATCGCAAACTTGAACAAGAACGTTGCCAAAATCTTTTTGGCCCCAACTCTGGATAAAAACAAAGCTGTCGGAGCATCGCTCAGCAGTCTGGGAAGTGCCGCAGACGCGGTGCGTAGCCAGTCTCATCGCACCTGGGTCTCTCCTGGTACTGGCAGTTCCCCAAAGCCGTTCCCCTTGTCTTTCGGCTCACGGTGGTTTGCAGCAAGGCGAAGAAACGCGGCTTTGCCGACAGCCCGTGCTCTGGAGTCGCTTGTTTGGAGGGAGAGAGGGAAGAAGGGGCACGGTTCCTGCTCTAGAACGAATCCCAGCTTGAGGGGAGAGAAAAGACACATTTTTTTTTTCAGCTCAGGTTTCCATATGCAGCGTGTGCGTTTGTATTGTCAAGGGCAAGACCGCAACGGTAACTCGGGATTCATGCACGGGCTGGATCGAGCCCTGGGCGTTGGTCAGTCGGTCGGTCACACTAAGCTGGAATCCCCCCCGATCCTCATCGGGCATCCCAGCCTCATCCTGCCAGGAATACTCCGATGGCTGTTTCCAGCCGCGGTCCAGAGCCACTGCCCTGTGGTAAGTGGGAAGATGCCGTTTCAAGGAAGAAGCGACGGTTGCCGTCTGGCTGTGTTCTGGCGAGCCTTCCTGATGGGAACGCTTCAACTCGCCAAGGAGGAAAAGCGGCTCGTTCTGGGTGAAAGCAGGAATAACTCGTTTTGGCGGCGTAAACCCTGATTTTTGGAACTGCAAGAGCCGACGCCATGGGAGGAGTGTCCCGCAGGTCCTGCTGACGGCCTGCGGGCGGCAGAGCCAGCGAGGAGGAGGTTTCAGCGCAGGGCAGAGCCCCTTCCCTGCAAGGGAAGCCTTGTTTTACGGGCAGATCTGCACCGACAGCCCCGAGCGGCGTGGGGCAGCGCGGGCAGGCCCGGGTCCCCCCAGCCCACCTCGCCTGGCTCCGCTGGATGCGGCTGGGTCAGCTTTGACCTGAACACCCCGCTGCGGTCACAGACGGTTGAAATGTTTGACCCTCGGGGGGAGGGAGGGGGGGATGGTTTTTGGGGTCCTTTTCATGCTGCTTTTGGCCTTCTAGAATTGGGAAAAAAAAAAAAATCTCTAAATTTCTGCGTATGCAAGTTCAGGAACCAGTTTAATTCAAGCTATTTCATTTTCCTCAAAGCTGTTTAATTGCTGTGCTGGTGAAGGCTCTTGCCGAGGAAGTCTTTTTATGCAAGCGATTAGCAGTAGGCTATTTTGGTACCAAAACCATCGAGCTACGGTGGATTGAAGCGGTGGAAGATGGCAATATCTGAACCTGGCAGGCTCTGGGGGGGGGGGGGGGGGGTTAA